AGTCTTGTGGCGCACTCGCGAGCATCATCTTCACCTTGGTCTTGGTACTTGGAAGCAAGAATTCAATCCGCCACATAGGAGTACACATAAATATCGCTAGCTTTGCGTTGGTTCCTTGTGTTGTGATCCTTTCCGCCTTATTTTCTTGTATTCCCATCCCAAGCTGCACCAGCCACCACCAATGAGAATGAGTGTCCGGCCGGATCCCGGCGGCGCTGTACTGTACGTATGAAGAGGACGACGTACTGTTCCCCGCGTACGTGTGCACAGCGCGCGACGGTGGCCGGGCTACTGTTGTTCTTCCTCGGCCACCCCCGCGTCTCGTTCTCTAGCTAGCTTGTGTGCGTGACAGTGGTGAATAGCTATAGGAGGAGTACTACGAGCGCGCTACTGTTGTCCCTCCTGCCTGCGCGTGCGTGCTAGCTGCCGGTCGGCTCGCTGTCTAGCTAAGCTACATGGCGCTCCAGATCGGGTCAAACAGCCCAATAGTTTGCCTGCTGCCTGCGTCGTCCCATCCTTCTCGGTGCAGTTAGTACTTGCGCTTACCCGTATTTGATTCCAAATAAGGAGATGGTACATTTGTCGACGTCGACTGTGTCTTGCCAAATTGCATTGATTCCATAGATTTCCTACTGTTTCCTCCGCCAGATTTCACTGCTTCTTGCTTGGCCTGCTAGCTCCTCATTTTATGCATGAAGCTAGCTTACAAAAATGATATGCAGTGTATGCACCAGCTAGCTGTGTGCCTGCCTGGGATACGAAGCCTGATTAGCGATCAAATTGATGAAATTTTAGAAACTACTTATACTCCCTAGCTCCATTTGAAAATATATAAGGCATAGTTTCGTTTCGTTAAGACGAGGCTTTGACGAGCAACTAGTACTTTGTTGAGTATGTGGTTTATTCCTCCTTTCTTTGTCCCTAAAGAAATTAAGTACTCAACAAATGAACATATATTCCGTGATCAACATGTATTTTTCTTAAATACATCAAACATGTGCTACATATTAGCAGTGAGGTATATACTGTTTGCACTTCACAAAGTACTCAGCTTACTGTTATACATTCTCCCTTATATAATCAGCCTATGACCGATTATAAGCATATACATGTAGTTAGTACTATATGTTTGAAGCCTTCACAGATCTGCATGTTAATTTACATGCATCACTACTGAGCTGTTACCTACTGGCATGTTTGATGTTCCCTTACTACTGATATCCTCTTCTATTTGTTATATTATGGATACCTACATCACTACCGAACTGGTAGTGTATTTGACTTCTCGTCAAAATCCATTACTCTTTCAGTATTCCTAGAATGCATGTTATATGATGTTAACTGTTGCACAGGTTTCTTTTCTATTCCCGGATCTGCGTGATATTTATAAATTGAACATACTTTTTTTTTGGCTGGACAAGCTAGTTTTTACAATGCTAATTATATGATAGGATCTTACTCGACCTATACAATTCTAAAGTGTTGCCTTTACCTTAAAACTCCGAAATTGTTAACCTATACAAAGCTAAATTTGCAATATCAAGTTTTAAAATTCCAACGAGTTCATATATATAGCTTCCTAAAACTGTAGAGTGTGATAGCATAAACACCTGTTACTTTGGATATTGTTCACAAGTGTGTGTGTGTGTGTGTGTGTGTGTGTGTGTGTGTGTGTGTGTGTGTGTGTGTGTGTCATATGTTGTAATAATATTATGTACTATAGAATTATTAGAGGTGTGTAATTCTGCTGAGCATAAACGATTTCACCCACAAACTAATTATCATAAAGTAATATGGAAATGTGGTCATACTTCCAATAACAAACATACAAGGATAATGAATTATATAACACACTAAAGTACAATACGTGTATGTATAAAGTACATTCAAATACAAAAGGTATAATTGACCATAATTCAAATTTTATTTGAATTATAACTTATTTAGGAATACTAGGAAGCGCCACAGCCCCATGTACATATATGTAGCTTAAATAAGATATAGTACAGTAAACGTGCACTTGATTTTCTTCTTTGCAAAATTCATTAGTTTGGTATCGCTATGGTACATACGTAAACAATATGCTGAGTATGTCGCTCTAATCCTAATTGGTCAGAATCCTACTATAGTACAGAATTGTAGTTACTTCAAGAGTATATATATGATTTTCTTTTAGGGGGTGGGGGGTGGGGGGGGGGGTATAGAGACATGGGAGGTAGGATACATAGAACAACCCCCAACAAATTGGTAGATCATATATAGATGATAAAAGGCTAGTATGTCTAACCTTTAGTATTTAATTTCCTTTTTGTGTGAAAATAATTAATCTGAGGCTACAAGACCATCCGTACAAAACTGATGGCGGCTTTGACTAATATTCCAGTGACGTCTACTTCCTCGACATATACCATAATAAGACTAGCCACAGTGCATGGATAGTAATTTAGACTAGTAACATGCATATGTATGGTGTCATGCAACACTTCATTTATTATGTTATAAACTCATCTTGTCTTGATATGTGTGGTGTTACTTATACTATGAGTAACTAGCTATGTTAGTACATGTCTCTCTTTCTTCATTGATTGCTTGCCACATTATCTATTTTTGTCTAAGTAGATATGTGTGATGTTACCATCTATGTTAATACTCCCATTGTGGGTAGTCTAATGATATTAGATTAGAGGGGAGCAGCGGTGCAGACTAAGCATAATCCATAATATATATGATACCATATTAGGAGGGGCACGGGGAGCTCACATAACGAGTACAAGGGTATACTATCAAGTAGCATTGGAGCCGTGTGTGCTGACTAAAATCTGACTTGCATAAAACATAATAAAAGTATTATACTTCATAAATAATTCCTGAGTGCATAAAATGAAGACTATAAGGCACACATTGATGAACAATATCTAAACAAGTAATGAATAACTCTTTTTTAGAAACATAGTGCTGATGCAAACGCTCACAAACCCATACATGTACTCACCCCTATGAAAACATGCACGCACACACCCTGCCCTTATGAGAAACTGAACCATATTTGAGTTATTAGGGCTAAATAAATAGGTAGAGACAATAGTTAATTCATATTATGCCCATGCATAAGAGATTTGGGACTTCGAGTTTAGGAGTTTCCGGGGAGAAACATATTCCAGAGAGTAATCTTGCCAGCTCATCCTACCAAATAAACAGCCATCTTAAATTCATATTATGCCCATGCATACAAGATATGATGTCTAAGAATGTAATCCATAATAGATTTTTGGCTATAGAATCCAAGATCGATATATTAGAAAACGTTGATTGCAACATAAAAATATGCAGATTTCTAAACACACATTTTATCACAATATTTTTCATTGCAAATATTTTATCTCATTATTGTATGTTTTAATGAATTTTAAAAGAACATGTATCGATCAAAGAATATGTCAAGTATTGAAAACTTAATTGATAACCAATGATCGATACACCTTATTCTCTTTCAAAAAATAAGGGGTTAGATACACTAATAGTAAACGCACTTACGCTGATCATAACCTAATATTAAACGCATGAACCAATTTTCTAGTTTTATAAATCCATGTTAGGTATGTGCTTTTGCAGTGCAAGAGCAGCTGCCCGGCCATGCATATAGTTTTTCGATGCATCAAATCGGAAACCAACAAAGCAACCATGAAATCGAAGGAGAAAAGGATAGTATGGCAGTACCAATGAAATTTCCTCCCGCATTCGATATCTGAAGGTGTAACAAAAATGACAATAAGACCAGATATGTCGACACATGTTTACTAGTACAAATTAGTAGGTTAACTACAATAGTGGTCACTGAATACATACTAGAGATGATAGCCCGCTGTTGTTCTGGGAAATTCTTGCCATTATTTAAATGAGATTTGGTTGGATGAAACATTAGTATTTGGATTTGTTTTTGCTAATGAAGTATTTGGATTAACAATATGAGAATTTAAAACTAAAATACATGCAATTTACTGTATTTAATTATAATATAGTTGTACAATATTTATTAGATATGAGTAGAATACATAATGCATATTAAGGCCTTTTTCCATGCATGATGACATAGCATAGTTGCATGCTGAGATAATTAAAGTTAGATATGATCAACTATTTAGGTATATAGGATTCATGTTGTTCTCCCAAAAAAAACATATATGTTGTTAGTTATTACTTGCTTCTAAGTAAGAATCTAGCTAGGCTATTTTAAAATA